AACATTAAAGAAGAACCAAAACACCGATTTTTTGATTGAAAAAAAGTTGGAAGTCTTATCTAAACGCAAATTTTTTCCTCGTTAACGTGTAGAGATCCCCTTGGTCGGACACTCGAAACTTTCGCGTTAACTTGCGCGTTAAGCATTTAACGCGGTTAAAGTTCATTTTACGTGTTCTCGCACAGCCACGAGGATTTTCTCGGGAAAGTTTCTCTCTCGGCGAAACTTTAATCGAAACTCTTAATAACAACATCGTTGGCCTTATCGCCAGCGGTGATAACAGCGCGCGTCCGACCCCTTCTATAATCCCCTTTTCTCCTCTACGTCCAGTAAACGCGGCACCTTGCACTTGCACCAAACCCGCGGTCTAATTTTCTCTCCGTCAGGGGGGGAGGGCGAAGTTGATTTAATCACCGTCACGTCCCAGCTATTAATTAGCCGTATTAATTAATCGGACTACTGTTCCGTTATCGGAAGTCGGGCTCGCTTCGGCGCGATTACATCGGTAGATTATTATTTGGGACCCCGATTTCCCAACGCGCGCTCGGATCTCGATTGGCGTCGTTAATATTGCGCTGACTTAATTCAACGGCACAGACGATCGCATTCATACTGCACATTAGCATAATTATGACCGTATGTTACTGCGACGCCACCACGAGTCTCTCTCTCTCTCTCTCTCTATTTCTCTCTGCCATTATCAACTGTTACATGCGTATTCGAACAGTTAATTTCGGTGGTCGACTTAGTAACGAGGCGTCGCATCATGACGTTGTTTCTCGAGTTGACTATTGTATCGGAATACGATGGGGACGGATACAAATATTTGACGTCAGAAAATGCATCTGTCTTTCTCGTTTAATTTTTATAAATAAATATATGTACAGGTATCTGAAAATAGCGTTTTATATATACAATTTAAATTCTACAATCAATTTTGATCATTTTTAAGAAGATCTTGATTTTGCTTATAAAGATATTAAAAAAGTCAAATCTTAATGAATTATTGTCATATATACTCAGGAAAAATAATAAGAGGTAAAATTTTAGTCGTAGATAAGTAAGGTGTTTGAAAGGACGAACAAAAGTTAAAAGAAAATAATGGTAGTTCTGGCTCCATACAGGTTCTTGATAAACGGTGAGTTTTATTTCAGTGAGATAGATAGCTAGATAGATAGGTGGATAGATATAGATACACTACCGCTAAAAAGTTTTTGCCACCTTAAAGGAATTTGATTAGAGTTTATTAATGAAATTTTAATGAAAAGACCAATAATTTGCTATCTTTATTACATAAGTAGTTACATGTTATTTAAACAATGTTAAACAATGATTTGACAAGAAAATAACATTATTTTAAATTTTTGCCTCATTAATGTGGCTGTTACGTTTTTTTTTTTAATTACAGCCTTACACAGTAACTGATTTTTGACTTCTAAATACACTAACGATGATGATCTCGGAAAATGTATTTATGTATTATTTGAGATTTTCCGTACGCAAAATAATTACATAAAATTAGGAAGTAAGAGATAAAACGTAACATTAGTTTTGTGTAAGCAGGTAACAATGAATACATGCCGTACAATAATCCCTACTTTAAATTAAGTTTACTGCAAAAATTTTGAACTTTTACCATTTTTTTCTGGGGTGGCAGATACTTTTGAGCGATAGTGTAGATAGATAGAGAGAGAGCGTAAGTTATTGAAGTTGGTTTTCTCGTTGGCCGAGCCAGAGAAGCCCTTTGCTGTATCGATCAATCGGTGTATCGCGGTTAAAAGAATTAAAGTCTCGTCGGCCGCGCGGAGCGGATGTTTCGGAGTAAAGGAATTAAAATCTCGAAGCACGCGCGAGTTTCGCCGAAAGAAATTAAGCTTCCCGCGATCTTCGCTTTTTGTATGCATTCTCTTCGCTTCCCTCTCTCTTTCTCTCGCTCTCTTTTTGTCCCCAGGAGTTCTAATTCGCGAAATTCACGAGATTCACGAGATTCACGAAGAATTCTGTAAAATCCACGCGCGTCTTTCACAGGCGCTGTAATTACTAGAACTAAAATCGAAACTAAGAGAACTAAAGTGCTTGCGAAGAAGAGGGGAGATGTTATAACGGAAAGATGAAATCAAATCGGGATCAAAACGATTAACGCACCACGTTTGGTCGAATCGTCGTTAATGATCTCTGTACGTAGAACAAACCTACATTCTTTTTCTCTCGCGGGATGTTCTATTACCGCAACGTGATTCGCCACACCACCGCGTCTCAGTTTCTCGCTATTTGCGAAGACAGCGCGACAGAATCCGCTTGTGGGAATAACGTGACATTAGCGACGCGACATTAGCAATTCATAACTGACATAACTGCGGTTGGACGTTGCTGGTAAATCGGTTACATTTGTTCTCTCTGTATCGCCTCCCTTCTCTCTCTCTCTCTCTCTCTCTCTCTCTCTCTCTCTCTCTCCCCCTTTCTCTCTCTTTCTCTCAAACGGAATTAATTTAAAGCGACGGCCGCTTCGCCTTTAATTGCGTTTGCCTAAGAGTTATTAACCGTTGCGCGTTGACGTGTAGGGCGCTACCATTTACGACGATCATTCAGGCTAATGGTTTTCGACTGTTCGCGCGTCAGAGTCGAGAGTTCACAATGAAAGTGGCAAATAAAAAATAAGAATACTTACCTCGAAACATCGTAGACTCTATCGCATTTAAAATTGTAGACCATCGCATAATTCACTCCTATGGATACTTATCTATATTATACTTGAAAAGAGTGCCCTTTCACTCAAATGGAGTGCGATTTTACTCCGATTTATACAGCGCATTTTTACTCTTTCTTAGAGTGGCGAATCGCTCAAAATGCACAGGCTCAATTTTCACTTTTTGTTACACCATTTCACTCGTTTTGAGTAATATTTGATTCTTCGACTTTTACGAAGGGTACATAAAGCAATAAAAACATCTTTCCTTTTTCATGAATGAAAAAAGATAGCTAAGAATGTTTCTTTTGTAATACTTTTACTCGCGGACGTTTATCGGTTAACTTTAACAAAGCTATATATTGTATAAAATGTTAAATAATTCATTCTGGCACATGTTAGAAGTTTGTGCGACATGAAAGACCCGTTGTCTTGTCTTTAGTCACGTCTTTCTGCTCGTTTAACTCGCGAGAGACGAATATGGTATGACCCAAGAAAAGGAAGACCGTATCTCTCCCCGGTATATAACGAAAGTTTTCTCGTTGCATTGTTATAACGTATACTCGCGTCGCCCACTACTATTTCGGTATTTCAGTTAAATGTCTTGACGCGATTCCAGGATAACGTGCATAAGCCAGCTCAATGATGGACGATAAATACGCGTAGTTTTCGAGCGATTGTAGCTTCATTTTATCGCTCCGCGATTCATAAGCTCGCGCAATGAGAACAAAAGATTGCGAATGGGTATCCTCAGTAATTCGTAAACACCTTTATCTACGTTTTATACGTTTATTATCGCTTTGTGTCGCCAATGGGACTTTATGTTCATACTGCGCTTGAATGAATGAAGGTATCTCGGGACATATAACAGCTTCTACTGGATCTTTGACAAATGTTTGAGATTTTTAATGGAAAAATTAGAAAGAGATGTGTTGTGAATTTTTATCGCTCTTGGATGAATTTTAAATCTTTGATGAATTTTTTAAATATATACATATACATAATTTTTTATGTTATATATACAGAAATTTTATATATTTTTATGTAAATATATTTTATAATCTTTTAGGTTTTTCCTTTTGTAATAAATTATAATTTGTAATAATGTTGTATGCACTCGCAGATTTTTTATGACAACTGAATTTTATGCAAAATGTATGGTATGGCTGGAGATTTCTCGCGAAATTTCGGTATCAAGATACCGCGGATTTTTCTCTGCGATACAAGCAACAATTCGCTATACTATCAATTTTTCCGGCGACAGTAACCCTCCCTCCTCGAATTGGCAATCGCTTTACGATCCTAACCCATATCTGGGAAAGTAGTTTCTCGATGCGGGTCGAAATCGAATCGGAGCGAAGCGAAACGAAACGAAATGAAGGCGGAGATTCCGCGGCGGTGGCGGCGGCGGCAATTCCCGATGGAATTGCCCGGAAAACTCGGCACGCGAACGCCAAAAAGTTTTGATACGCTTTTCTCTAACATGACACAATATCTTTGGAGACCGTAAAAAATAAGGATGAAGATATCAAAGATAAAAAAATTTTGAGTACTTTTACAAAAAATACATATTTAAAAGGACATTGCGTACAAGTTGATTAAAAAAAATGCAAGTTTATTTTTACTAATGTAGATTAACTTTAATTTTGGTTTAACTTGCTTTTTATTTTTTTTTAGTTCTAAAAATTAGTTAAAGTTAATCCGCGATTGATAAAATTAAGTTTTAGACAAATATTACTATTTGAATAATTTTATAAAGGACTACACCATCAAATATTATTTTAACTTTCAAAAAAATAGACAGCCTCTTTTTCTAAAAATAGAAAACTGAGATATCAGATTGTAATCGATTTATATATTTTTATTAAGAAGCTACTCTGTAATGAGAACGCGAAAAATGTACTCCAATTAATTTTATCCACTAATTTTATCTAATTACACTAATATAGGGAACCGTTGCTTCCAAGTTTTTAATTTGATAAATATTTTGTGATAAATGTATATTTCAAACAAAAACAAGAAAGAGAGTAATACATTAAATAAATTACATTGATATATAATAGACAATTTCAATTGTTTCGTATAACCAACCAATCTTGCTTTAATAAAATAACGTTTGCCATGTTGCGTTTCTACCCTTACGAAATATTTGCGAGATGCAATGTATATAAAGAAATCATGAGCCTCGCGAATCTGTATGCGACTCTTGTCTCGCATACCCGCAAGTATTGCGGTTGACATAAACCGAGGTGCACCGTGCGCGGATAAAGACGGGCTCGCGGGGGTCTTGAATATATTTCTGCGCTTCTTTCAGGCACCAGCCTGTTCGCGGTGGCCGCTCATGAATTCGGCCATTCCCTGGGATTGGCGCACAGCTCGGTCCAAGGTGCCCTCATGTATCCCTGGTACCAAGGACTGAGCCCCAACTACGAGCTGCCGGAGGACGACCGCCACGGGATTCAGCAGATGTACGGTAAGTTGTTTTCTTTCGCCGCGTTAATACTTGCTAATGCTCGTTTAAGTATTATAAATTGGTATTAAATTTGAGTCGCGTAAGTTGTGGAGATCCGAGAACAAGAGAAAGCCCTGATGGGATTAAGTTAAAATAACACCTTAAAAAGTATTTTTATAAATTTAAAATCGAATGCGAAGGAAAGAAAATTACGATAAACTGTATCGCATTAATATTGCCAAGTTAATATTGCTAATACTGTTAATTATGAATTTAAAAAACGAAAACCGAAAAGCCAAAGTTATTGAAAGTGAATATAATTATAATTAATTATAATGAACTGTAATGCTGAAGAAAAAATTTCATTATAAGCTTTGAGAAAGATTCAAATATTAATGTTACATTAATTTTACTAACCGTTAGTCTTTGCGAAGCAAAAGCAAACGGAAACAGGAGCGGGAGTTATCCCCGTCGTGCCGCACGATTAGTATTCGTCCGCGGCTTCGCAGCCTTGTTCTCGAGAATGTCTTCGTATTCACGGTGTGAATCGAACGAGCAGGATGTGCGAGCGGTTTATCTCGATTGTAAAACTTTCGGTGAGCGGCGATATAGTACCAGGCGAGATTTATAGCGCGCGTTATCGGCGTGGGATCGCAGCGCCGCGGCGTAGCGCGAGAGGCGGGCGAGCGCCGCTCGTGCAATGTTTCAATTTCGGAATTTTGAGCACGCTGTGTGCGCGGGATAACCACGGGCATTAAGGCGATACCGTTGCAGTCGGCTCGGGCTCGTAATGCGCGACATAACGCTTGGCGTGTCGGCCGGCAATCGAGTATATTAGAAAAGTTGTTTGCTCTTTATGACCCGGTAAGCCTGGTGAGAGTATAGAGGCACGTACAGAGTAATTTGGTGAAGGTAGGACCTGTAATGGACGATATAAATTCCCCGGTCAAGTTTCTCCAGCCTCTGGGGTTTCAATATTTTGTCAAAGAAAAATATTTGGCTTTTTTTTTCTAAAATTGAACAAATTTTAAAGACGCACTTATAATTGAACTATATGCATTTGAAGGGTACAGGGAAAGAATGAAAGAACGATCAAAGTCTTTTTGTCTTTATCTGATCACGTTATCTTGTGACATTTTCAAAAAGTTTTGATAATTCTTATCTGTCTCGAGCAAGAACAGTTATATTCATTGGAATAAGGTCGAAAGATGTGCTGAGAAAGAACGATCATAGCCCACGTGCTTGTGGGGAAGATGCCTTTATTTAATTAATGCAAACTATACGCATATTTCGAAGAATTATTTAAAATTAAGTAAAAAATATATTAAATTATATATATATATATATATACATATATATATAATAATTTTTTAAGCAGAAATTTAGTTCTAAAGTGAATGCGCATATAGTCAACGGCAATCTTGGCAACTTCGCCTATGCTAAAGTTAAGCGCGAAATATGTTCGATGCTGAGCTATATCGCGTTACGTTCCCATTGTTGGAATTACCCCGCGTGATTTTGTCGCGCGCATAACGGAATCACAACTTGAGCACGTCGAAATTGCTTTAATCGCGCAGTCATGAGAAACAGCTTAGTTATATTCACCCAGCCAAACTGCACGCGAAAATCTACCGTCCGTTATACGGGGTGTCGAGAATGTCGGAGTGATATACATTGTTACCTAAATACGCGTTGAAACTATAAATATAATTATTCCTTTTAAAATTATCCTTTTTTTTATCAATCTTTATTAGAGCGAGAACCTTACTCCGAACTTGCTGTGAAATATATGCGACATGCTGCAAAGTGGAATGAAAACAGGAGGGTAGGTCGAGGTTGAGACACCCTGGCTCTTTAATCGAGATTATACTGGGCATTGGTGCGCCAGCTACATCAGAAATTTGAATTTCGAACAAGGATCTATATCTCGCAGTACAGTTTCGCAGTAGATAGGGCACTTTATAGTCCGGCGACGGGGTAAAGTTGGCCTTTCAGTAGCAAACTCGTTCGATAGTCAGCCGCCACGCCGCATAGCGAAACGTAGTTGCGCCCGCCGAATACTTGGTCGCCATAGCATCCCTACGGCATTTAATGCACACCTGTGAGGCGTGTGAAAATGCTGAAAAATGTAGGGACGCACGGAAAGCGCGTAAACGAAAAGTAAACGCGCGAGAGAGCCCATTGTTCGAGTATTTTTCTTTGCTTCACAGAATAAACAACAACCGAGAAATTCTCTTCGCGAGTTTCTTGGATCTTATTTTAAATGTCAATCTTATTTTACTTCCAATCTTATATATATATGTATACTTTTAAAGTTTTATTAATATTACGATAATATTATTGAGTAAATTAATATTTGAATAAATAAAAATTCCTGATCTGTCTGCCAATATCAAAGCAGAAACGTAAAAATTTTCCTCTACGGTATACATTCTAACTTTTAGCGGTGCTGCGAGCTTAAAGCTGCCGTATGATAAAAATGATATATTATATCGTTGGAATAAAATTGCTAGAAGGACAACACGAACGAGCTTCCGGCCTGTTGCGACGTTTGAAATAGAGAGGAGCTTCGATCCGCTGGTTTTTACGTGGCTGACTTTATGACGCAATGTTGTAAAACAAGGAATGCAGATATCTTGTACGTGCGGTGAAAATATACATGTCCTTGGCACGCATTTTGTTCCGCATTTCCTGGCTTTTGACGTTTGAAATAAATCTTGCAAGAAGTTTTATATGATTTTCTAAATCTTATCTTTTACCTTTGAGCTCGCGTTATTACTTGTATTACTCGCAACATTGGATTTTTCAAAATCCAATGTTCTTTCTGAATTTCCGAGTGCAATTTAAAGCACCAATCCCGCTTGTCTATTTTTATAATAGTCGATACGTGAATATCACGTTAAAAAGCCGCAATAAATTATAGCAACTATGATAATGGTCATTGCGTCTTAATAAATCATCTAAAAATTATATTTTTACTCATTTACTTAATTACACAGTATTAAAAATTCGATTGGTCCGTCTATTTGAAAACAATAAGAACACAAAGATCGCCGATACATCGTCCTACGTACCTAATCTTCGGGCTGCACGCGAGACTGCATCTTGCACGATGATGCACTGTCGCTCTCGTTACGGGCCGTCCGCTCTTTTCGGTTACACGGAGGCCGGGGGTGAAATGAAACGTGAATAAAATATAAAGAATGACCGGGTTTCGCGCGCTACTCATCCCTCGTCATCCCGCGGGGTACAGGGGGCGTACCATCGGGATGGTGATTTAGTGTACTGCGGCAGAGCTTTGCCGGGATGATGGTTCTCCGGAGGATGGCGAATGTATTTTGATTCTCCCCCTCCCCTCCGCCTGCCTGTGCCTCCTCTACCTGTTATTTGTTATTCTCGTTTTCTATCTGTCTATCAGCGTTATCCTTTCCGCCTTGATATTTCCGCGCGCGTTCGCTTTGTTTCGTGCTGCGCTGCATCTGGGAAATTCCGTGCAAGAGGCGAGCCAACGTAGCGGAAAGGTGATTTTTACTTACGAAAAACGTTTATTTAGTATCACAAAACACGAAGGTTCCTTATATTTGATCTTTCAAAATAATAGCTTTTTATCGTAGACGATAATATTGCGGAAAATTATTAAATTTATTTACGTATAAAGTTATAATTTGCTACTAATTATCGCGATGATAGATTACTTTAATTTAAAAAGTGTACAGCCTAACTTAAGTCTAATTTAATTTTAATTTGAAATAATATTTAATGATCGAATTTTTACCATATCGGTATATTACTTTTTGATTAAGTAGGTTTGCCCGAAAATAAAATGCACATAACGATTAAAAAACGACTCGAGCGCTTTCATCCTTTGTACAGACGTCTCGCTAGCGCATCGTTCTTCGTTTTTCACCCGCGACCTCCCATTTCTAGTTTACTCCGTTTCGTCCCGTACATTCTCCCCGGTTGCTGTCGGTGGTAAACGTATTACATGCGCCGCGTAGCACGGGGAGGAGAGAGCGCGAATGCGAACGAGGGCTCGCATTTGTCTTCTCTGAAAGGATCCGCCATTGACGGATGCATTTGCTTTTGCGCTGCGGCGCGCTTCTCTGCTCGTCGCATTGTCGAATGCAAACAGCGCGACAGTGGGAATCAGCTTAGTCTCGTTCGCCACAATGGAGAAAGGGATCTTACTCGCGGCGTAATTGCGGTGCTTCCGCTACCGTTTGGATGTTCCGTTTCGTTATTCGTTTCACGATTAAATAAATCGAGAATAAGTCCGAGAATTAGATGCAAAATAGAAATTTTAATTAGAATAGTCATATTATTTAATATTTAATAATTATATTGTTATTTAACATTTTTAACAAAGAGGTCAAAGTGGCTGATAGAAGTATTTGTAAATTGAAAAAAAAAATTATTATCGAAGTTTCAAAGTTTCTTATGAAGTTTTAAAGTTTTTAACGTCAGAAAAGAGAAAATTCCGCTTTAATCGTAAGTAATTAACATCGTGTTTTGAAAGAAATTGTAAAACATTTTATTATTTGTGTAAGGTTTTTTTTCTATTTCACGTAATCATCTAGAAAAACTTACAAAAATGATAGATTTAAAAAATATTTTGTCACTAAATTTACAAACGTACAAATGATATCTATCTAAACTTAACGAAAGGCGGAGGTCGCACTCCTCTTTCGCGTTTTCAGTGCATTCTTGAGTTTATGGACGGTCACGGTAAGCTGGCGAACTTGTGCCTGTAGATGCTTTATCTTATCGTTGTCCTCCTTCAGCTCCTCCATCGCTACCTCCCAGACGATCTTCGCCTCTGCCGGCACTTTCGAGATCTCGTCCCAGTTGACGCTCTTGAGGTAGCGCACATACTTGATCGGCTGTTCCTTCATCTCCTCCTTCGGCAACATGTGAACACGACGTCCCCTTGAAAAAGAGAGCAGCGCGCTCGTCATACGATATCGCCGATATCGGGAAATCTCGAAGCTAAATTATTACGATACGATCGGCGCCAGAGATCAATCATCAGATTGCTTGGAGAGATTAAACGCGAATTACGATTCCATACATTTTTTCGCGCGTTTTTCCGGTTAAGCTCTAATTAAAATATCAGGATTCAGGAGATGCGTATTTTAATAAAAGTTCCAGGGAATTATTTATTTAAATTGTCGATCGATTGTCACTTTATTTTGGACGAATAATTACAAAGATCAATTATCTTCTTACCTCGTGATGGTCGGTCGTCTGACCGACGACGGTAACGAACGTAATATCGGCGAGGATGGTCGTTCGGTTTCTGGTTCTCTATGCGGTGATGATCGATCCACTTCTGCGGCTTTCGCGATCGAGTCGGTGCAGGAAGTTGGCGCCAATTCCAAAGTCGGAACGGCATTGTCCATCAGAATGAAGCCTGCGGAGCAAGCTTGCGAGAAATGACGCGAGCACAGTGACAATTGTGCGGGCACGTCCTCGTTAGTCTCGTTGATCGCATCCAACCACTTCTTCCAGCAATTCTTGTTCTCGGGAAATCTAAGGATCGGAGAGTGACGGCGTAAAAATTGTTTCATGTTTTTATTTTTTTCTTTCTAGGTTTTTTTTAAAGCTTCTTTAGATTTTTATATGCGCGACATCGTGATCTGTAACGATCCTGTGCGCAGATTTATGAACGAAGAGCGACCAACAATTATTTGGATTACATTTGAACGTGTATAATGTTTAGATAATAAAAATTACGAAGCAACTTTATAATAATTTTGAAAGTTTACAAAATCCGCAATAAATTCTTTACAATGGATTTAATAAGAATGCTTATTGGTGTATTAAAATTTAAATCGATTATCGATTTAAGTATTTGGATTTACTGTTCTAACTAGGAAGTATGTTTTAAAGACCGACAAAAAATCGGCGCGCAGTTTACTGAGCTTGGAAAAAATTGTACGAAATTCACACAATATTATTATTAGGCTACCAAAAGATCCAGTACAAACCGTAAAATGATGATTTTTTTCTAATTGATTGTATAACGGTCGTGTTTCATTTATTATTATTGTTCACAATAATTAATTAAATTATTAAAGTACATTTTTATTTTAAAAAAGGGAAAAAGAAATGAGTTTTAGGGACGATTCAACAATAAATTTTTTGATTGAGCAAATTTGATGTTTGAAGGTGACTTCGATTAAACTGTGATTTACTTAATCAGTCATTAATCAACTATCGTTTGCTGCAAAACTTCCATAATTCGTTACTTCTAATTAAATTTTCTTTTCTATACATTAAACGGAAAAAAAGCGTTGTAATTCTACTGTTCAAGAAAATAATATAGATACTGTTCAATGAATTAATTGCTGATTAAGAATCGGAGTTTGGTCGAAATCGACCTAACATTTTACAGCTTGAAACATCTTTTTTATTAGACCAAAAAAATATGGCAACCGTACCGTAGGATTCACCACTTTTAGTTTTGGCGAGAGAGAAGGATATACATTCACTGTCGCTTTCTCTTTCTTTCCGTCTCTTTCTTTGTCTTTTTTCTATCTTTTTCTCTTTTTGTTTCTCTTGCTTTTACCAAGAAATGGCGAACCAATCAAAAGCTACCGTATGGCCAGACTTTAGTGGGAATTTAAAGTCACTAGATAATCTAGTGACTTTATTTATTTATTTTTATTTGAGAAAAATACAGGCCTTGGCAGAGCCATCTGGCCGATCTAGTGACTTTAAGGCCGGTATTCATAGTCGGTTCTTATATTTAAGACCATCTTAAGTACAATCTTAAGATGTCATTAACCAATCACAGAGCCGTATTAGCATCTAAAGATATTACTTAAGACGGTCTTGAAATAAGATCTGATTATGAATACCGGCCTAAGGGTCGGCAGGAGACACGGTGGAGACCTCTGTCGGGTTGGCTTAGCTGCGACTCACTGCGAGTCCGTATTTTATTTATTATAAATTTTTAAGAGCAAAAATGCAAAATCGGGCTCTGTAGCTGATTGCATTATTATATAAAGAGTATATAAAAAAAAAAGACTTATTAAAAGAGTTATTACGAATTACGGATTTGTTATAACAAGATTTCTCATAAAATAAGTTACATAGATTTGTGAATTTTTTTTTATATACTTTTTATATAATAATGCAGTCAGCTACAGAACCCGATTTTGCATTTTTGCTCTTAAAAATTTATAATAAATAAAATACGAAGTTAAAGTGCAGTTTAACGTGCACTTCGTGCATAAAGTGCACCTGAGTGCACCTGAGTGCACCTGAGTTTGCCTGGGTCTTCTGCCGACCCTAATGGGAATTGCTATTGCTGCATCATCTCTGCTACTTCCATGCACAATACTTTTTTTCTTTTTCTTTTTTTCTTTTTTTTCTCTTTCTGTTTGTCTCTCTGCTATTTTCAAATTATATCGAATCGTAAGATTACAAAGACAAAATCGGATATTACTATACGAAATTTCATACATCATTATTGATCTGTGTCTAAATACAAAGTAGCTTCCCAGATTACCTATATCTATCGAGGTACGTTACTACGCATGCGCGCACCGAGATGCGCGTATACATTATACATCCACACATATTGTACATTATACGCACACGCATGCGCCGTACTTGAGTCTTACATGTCAGACGGTATCTCCTGCGCGTCTTCGGAATGTTGCCTGCAGAGAAAGCAACTCATCGAGGCCATCTCGAGGCTCGTATGATGCACAACGTCGCTTCCACGATTGATGGTACGATCCAAGTCATGAACGCGGATCAACGCGGACTGACGACCGCACTAAAGCGAAAGATCCTCGATGCGCGTCGTCTTCGTCTCACACTGACACGCCATTGGTTGCGCTCGCCGCTGCTCCGACCGACATGTCAGAACACTGCACCGCAAACATTACTAGTAGCGACAGTAGCGGCGGTACCTTTGATCTTCGTGTATACAAATTTCATGACCTTGAGACTAGCCGCCACATTCTCAGCCTAAAATGGTGGCATTATCCCGCGCTGTTTAAATCGATACATACTACTGAAAATCTGTGTATATTGGTGAACACATAGTTAATTGTATTTTTCTCTTCTAATAAGTATAAATATTTATATAAGGGTGGTCGACTTATAATCGGCGAGTCTCGGATTCGATTCGGGCCTTCCATGGCCATGTTGTACACAGCCAGTACTCAAAATCTTGTAGTCATAGTTCACCATTACATATATTATAAATATTCAGTACTGGCAGTGTATATTAGAACACGGCTTGTATACGTCGATTTTATGAGAGGTTGATTTGGAAAATGTGTTGAAGGTTTGGAGTAAAGAAGTATAGGGCTTATTAGTAACTCGTTTTGGGAAATCATATAAATCATTTAGAAATATTAAATTATTTTTAAACTTTATATTTATTTATCAAATTACTGTTAAATGTGTGACAAAATAGTTATTTTTCGATTTTTTTCTTTGGATTGTTTTAAATTACGGTTTATACTTTTTAATGTATGATAAATACAGATTCGAATAACTAGTTTTATTAAATATTTTAAAGGAAATTCTGCACATACTTCGAATGGTACTGCTATTTGTATCATATCGTCGAAAAGCTTATGTCCTATATTTTGTAGGGAATACTGTTTAAAATGTAATATAAAATGTTTATGCAATGTTAATATATAATTGCTAAAACCTTTGTAAACATCTGATAGATGGTAAATTAAAAGTTTTTTGCAAAAATCTATATGCACTTGGCAAAATAAAAAATAATGATAATGCATATCTCTTAAATTCTTTTGTATATCTATACCCTTTTTTATGACATTTCTGTAATTTAATTTGCTCTGTAATAAAAAATTGTATATTTTTAGGTAAAAATTTATTGCAAAGTTTTAGAAAATCTGTTTCCGTAACATCCTCTAACTTATTCTTACGCTTTAATTTTGCTTCTAGTATTGATTTTATTCTTTGTAATTTTTTCAATTTTGTTCGCAATTTTTCTTTACGTGGACTATTTGCAGATAATATATAGGGGTATTCAAATAAGTTAGAGTTTAACGGTTTGACAGGTTATGTCGGGTTAAAGTCGGGTAAAAAGTTAATTTTTACACTTTTAACCCAAAGATTAATGTGATAGGTTAATGAAACACTTATGTATTTTGCATAACCTTAAAGAGTAGCGCGCCCAAAGTTAATTAATTAACTTTTTACTCGACTTTAACCCGACATAACCTGTCAAACCGTTAAACTTTAACTTATTTGAATACCCCTTATGTGATGTTTGAGTTAACGCTGATGGAGATTTTTCTAATGGTGGACTAAGCTGATTGTCTGGAATACGAATTACTAATGGTGATGGTTTATTTCTCTTTGCACAAAAATTCCTCGATTTTTCTGTCAAAACCTCTTCCGAAATGGTTGTTTCTTGTGTCGAAACCTCTTCCCAAATAGTTGATTCTTCTATCAAAACCTCTTCCGAATTGATTGTTTCTTGTGTCGAAACCTCTTTCGAAATGGTTGTTTCTTCTGTCGAACAGCTATAATTAGTATCCATCATAATAGATGGAATTTCTGGTTGATTTTCTGGCATATTAGTATTTAATGTGTTTGCCTGAATTGTCTCTGTACGGGTTTCTGTGCGAAAATCATTTGTCCTATAAACAGTATTACAAAAATAATACTTAATATTTTTTAGATATTTTTAAAGATGTAACGATCTACTAAACACAATACATGTAATGTACAGTAACGTGTTATATGCAATATAACACGTGTGTTATATTGCATTTATATTATTGAGTAGGAAATTACAACTAGTCTGTACACGTTACATGTTGCATTGTGTTTACTGGGAATTTTAAAAATGTTTTTTACTTAAAATGATTCAAAATTAACATACTTTTTACATAAAATTATTTAATTCTTTTTATAATTAAAACATTTGTTTACCGTGTATTTTCGAAAACTGTTGGTATAGCATGTACATGTAATCTATTTTGTAAATCATTTAGAAACATATTTGTTTGAAAGTGTGCTGCACATACTTTATAGTTTTTATACAAAACAATGCTATCTTTGTTAATTAGATCTTGCCTATTCATCGCATTTATCCATTGTCTGCATCTATAAACAAATTTGAGTATACAATTGTGATTGTATTATTATATTAATTTAATATATGTTAATTTATAAACAACGTAAGCAATATAATATCTAAAATACATCTCCCAGACAACACGTATGTTTAAAAGACGTTTAAAAGACATCTTTTAGACATGCATATTGTCTGGGCTAATTCGTATTTTTAAATATAAAACAATATTTAAATAAATTACCTTTCCGATTCTTTTTTGGAAATCTAAAAAAACTGTAAGAACAATTCCAAGAATTGTTAGAACAATTTGTGACAGCACAATACGCCCTCGCACTCATTTCACTGATTATTAATGACTATAACACTGATTATTGATAATGACTAATTGACATCAATCTATTTTTGTAAATGTCCGTAATGTATTTAAGTCCGTGAGTCCACTAAGCTTAGCTAAACTGTTATCTGAATAGGTTATATGTCACTGCACGTTTCGGCTAAGAACATGGCGGTTCGAGCATGCGCAATGAAAATCAGATCCTACAATAAATCGAAGTGACGTTACTAGTAATGTTTATACTATGGCACCGCGGTAATGGAAACTGGCGCGATATTCGAATGAGTAATTCTCGAACTTAAGAATGAAAAGAAAGAAAGAGAGAAAGAAAGAACAGAAGAAAAAATGATGATTTTGGTTTCAATATCATAAGACACTTAAAGAGATACAATAAATAAATAAATTTATTTATAAATTAACTTTAATTAAATTAAAATTGTAAATTTTTGATTGTAAATCTTGACATTTTATTTTTTTCAAAAATTTTTATAAAAATTATGGAAAAAATTGTTTAATTTTTTAATTGTATCTATAATATGCATTACATTAGATATCCCAATAATATCAGGAAAATAATAAAATCACTATAATATGTCGCAAAATTCAGTTGCTTTAATTTTCAGGTATTAATAATAACAGAAGAAAAGCGATTTTATTTTATTCGCTCTTCGGAAGAGAATGCAATATCTTTTGAAACCCCACTTGCAAAAGCAACCTGGTCTCTCGAAGAATTTTTTCAACCATAAAGCGCGCAATGATTCCACACGTGTAAAAAATTGGTCGGTGTAACTTTTGTGAGGGGGTAATAAAATACACGATACGTGCGTCACGCGAAATATTTACGACGGCCGATGCTTGCGCGCGTGAATCCAAAAAGATGGGATACGGGAACACTACGATGAGCAACGCGCGAAAGGAATCCCAAAATAGATCGCGTGCATCCCGATCCTACGTTTTATTTTTGACTATACAACTCGTTCGCGCTTCGCTTCCCCGTTTTCTATTGTTTACGGCATCAATATTTGCGCGGAGCGCAGCAAAAATTACGTGGTGACCCGTGCGGAGAGAAATAAACGTGAGGAAAAAAAAGGAAATGCTATTGCGGAATCAACAACAGCATTTTGCATTACAATCGTCGCGCGAAGAATCGCGATTCGCTTGACTTCTCTCGAATTATAAACGAAAAGTGTTTTCTACTCTTGGCAAAGAAGAGCAAGGCGGGAACTACAGGCGGACTTTACAACTTAAGAGAGTTACTAAGGTGACAAGAAAGGTTCTGCACATTGTAGTAACTTTTAATCCGACGTGCCCAGTTTTCCTCGACTCTGTAGTTTTGAATAATATCTCCGATTTTGGGAATTATAGAGTTAATACTTTTTCCAATAGATCAAGAGTTTAACTTATATAATAGTGAAGGATCTTATGTCCATTATTACTAGTTCCTAAGATACAATGTTTAGAAAAAGTATTAGAAATTTTGGTAAAACTTAAGATTAAGGGCGACCTCACCGATTTCAATGACCTTGATGTATGTTGTCAAGGTCATGACCCCGAGTGACCTTTAGAAGGTTTTAGCTGTCGCTCGTTATTAACGAATCGGGGTCATGACCTTGACAACATATATCAAGGTCATTGAAATCGGTGAGGTCGCCCTTAATTTTAAGTTTTACCGAAATTTTCATAGAAATAATAAATTTTAAATCATGTTTTCTCTAAATTTTTAATAATGGAGATACAATTCTTTACTTCTAATCTAAAGTACACATATAATCATTTTTCGCGGCAGAATTAATTTCGTAAAAATGCATTTGTAATACAAATAAAATAAAATTAAGAAATAAAGAGCATCAAGCCGTAACGGGATGTAAGTGTTAATATATTAAATGTATTACAACAAATACAAATAAAATAAGTTACATGTTGAGTTTCGTTATTAAGATAATTCTAGGAGAAATTCAACAATTTTTAATTTTTTTCACGTATTTATCGTTGCATATGTATAACGTAAAATACTTTGCACGTTTTTCCTTTATTGAATTAATTTGTTCGAGGATGTCAGTTCCACGTTAATCGAATCACCGAGGAAACTTTAACTTTATGTGGACGATAGTACCTGCAAAATTCAATAAGAGAACTAATTATACATGAATTCATTCAGCCTTTATGAGTCACATTACATAGAAAGTCTTGCAATCGTCGTAAATATTAAATGGTATAAATATAGTTAAACAAATTTTGTTCTCTTTCTCCGTGTGCGACCTGTGTTCTATTACTCATTGTAGTATCCGCGAACAATACAGTTGGAACCCCGAGGTACTAACAACCGCACCCGCGATCGCCAGTCCAGGAGATCCATCTTCGTCACGTGTCAATTTTTCGCGAAGTTACAGCATCCGCAAAATTACGCGCGCGTGTTCGTTTTATGAATGAGGGCGTCACGGGTGAGAGTAGGGGGAGAATGGGATAGGTCGTGCCTACTATGCGCGTAGTAGCTTATTGTTAGTAGCGCGTATACTCAACTGACTCGCTCGCTTGAACGAGTCTCGCTGTCGCTTCGTGCGACGGTAGTGCTTCACTATAAGTCTGTTCTATAGCTGAACTTCTTACACAGTTCATCTTTACTCTTTTTCTCTTCAATTAACGTGAAAAGACAAAGAGGAAAGATAAACCGTGCAAGAAGTTTAGCTAAAAAGAACGTTTCCCGATATTTCCAATCGGATAAATTCGCCGCGAGTTGCGACGAATTGCGTACTTACAAATGCCGCAAGTTTCACACATCCGATGGATCTGGAATCGGTTTTGTTTGCGAGATATGGTTGATTTATTTTAAAAAAATTATTACATGATTTATTTGATTTATTCTAGAAAGCACTATATATCTCGTAAGAAAATGGAACGGTCGCTTATTTTAAAGTTGAAATTATTAATAATAAACGACGTGATAGAAATTACGCTATCTTTTGCATATTTTTTACATATACTTTCAGTAGCGAAGAATACAAGCAGCTG